GACCCGCGAGCGGTTGGGCGGTCATGGCCGGCTTTGGATAGGGACTTTAGGGAGGTCAGTGAACGCAAGGCGCAGGCCTACACTCTGCGCATGCATTGCGTCATCGATTTTTTGAATGTGCTAGGCTTTTCCACATTATGTTTTGCATAATTTTTGCATCTTGGGGGTAAAAATGAATCCCCGCTATAAAAATGCATCTTTCGTGATTTTTGGCAGATTTTCTTCAAAAACAACAACGTTTGCGTGATTTTAGCCAGATGTTCTTCAAAAAAACACAAATTTGGCCTGATTTTTGCCGGATTTTCTTCAAAAACAACAAGTTTTGCAAGTGTTAGCTAAACTTTAGCCTACACTACCGGCATTTTCTTCTGCTGGCAAGACGACCTTGCCCCGCACCTGACGTAACCTGTGGGAAACACCCTAGTAAAATAAAAGTTAAAAATAATAAAAATTCGACGAGGAGACAATAATTTTAATATGGCAATAAGTAGGACGAGCTGAAGCGACATGTGGACTACTTTATTAACAATGTAAGCGATGGAGACGATGCAAGAAACAATCTAAAGGGTAAAGAAAATACATGTAAGAAGAAAAAGGGCAATGGAAAAAAAGATGATCCGAACAAGTTTTCGTACAACACTCTTCAGGAATCACCGTTGTACTAAAGAACAAAATGAGAACAAAGGAAATAATATAGCAATCAAGGTAGGGTGACACGATACAATGACAGCACTGGAATATCGAGGTGCGATTTCTCAAAAAAGTGTGTAGAACACAAGGGTATACAAGTAAGAACTAAGCGTGACAAGTGTGTATCAGCAACAAAAACAAAAACGTGAGAACGAATGATAATAATAACAATAATAAACAAGAAGGTGACAAAACACATTTAGGTACAAGTGGCAACAACGTTGCCGCACTACACAAAAGAACATTATTTGAACAATTTTAGGGTAATAACACTATCTTTCTGGACACACAAATTCGGCTTATGAATGCGCTGACAAACAGCTTCCAAAACTTGTAACTGCAAAAGATAACCATGACGAGCACGGCACAAAACAGAAAAACAGGAATCAGAATAAGTACGACAACAGTCAGTACTAGAAACGAAATGATTGTATACTGAAGACATATTACGAGACGGACGCACACAATCTCGACTCACGCGCACACCCTCACACTCACTCTCACCCTCACTCAGCTCACCTTCTCCCTCACTGTCCGAATCAGAACCTGCTCCGTCATCCACAGCGGTTCGACTCTCCTCCTCACTTGCATCGTCCTGCGTCTCACCTTCACCACCCACGCCATTCGTGAATGCCGTTGCCTTCATGTCAGTCGTCGTCCTTTCCGATTGTTTCCTTTGTATTTTTACCGTGAATTCATAGGTCCGGTTGTAATCTGCTGTAGATCTCCGTGGTCTGTCATTTGCTGCTTTGTTTTGTGGATTAGTTGTTGTTGTTGTTGTTGAATGTGAACCTGGTGTTGTTGTTGGATGTGAAGCTGGTGTTGTTGTTGCAGCCATGGCTGTTGGACTTTTTGTTGAATCCAGCTCTAGTTCCGGTGGGACAAATCGACCGCCGCGGGTGCTCTCCACCAACACATACCTCGAAGGAGGAGGGTCAGGGGGAGGCAGAGGTGCTGTCACCACTCGAGGCACAGCCCCATGCAAAGCACCCAGAGGCACAGACTTAGGCACACCCGAGGGCTGCACCAATGGCGGTTCCGCACGCACCTCCAAAGAGCTGCCAAGCTCAAGCCCGTCCAACACAGATGTCAGAGGGGGAGCGGCAGACAGCGGCAGGGAACTATCCTGCCGTGTAGGTGATGGGTTTTTCCTAGGCCTCCCGCGTTTGGGCCTCTCAGATTGCGCACTGGGTGGAAGGATGTGAAGTGGAGTGTGTTGTTTGATACGTGCGTTCAGGTGCTGAACAGTCCTACCAACATACCGACTAGCACAATGTCGGCATTCGAAGTTGTAGATAACATGACTGAGGTGGAGGGTTGGTAGGACGTCCTTCCGCACCGTGAACGCACGCATTGTTGTGAAGACTGGCACAAAATGTACTGCATAATAAGTACGACGGACGATAGACTTGACTTCGCGACACACTTTGATCGATTCCTGCCCCTTCCATGGCAAACATAGATAGACGGGACAGCGAGGTGGACCAATCAGCACCGATTTCGGTTTCTGCTCTATGGACAGAAACTTACGCAACAAGAATTCCGGATAGCCATTCTTCAAGAAAACAGATCGAAGAAAATCGAGCTCCGCCTGCAGCTTACTGGGCGAACAAATACGTTGCGCACGGTCCACGAGGTTACGAACTAAGTTGACCTTGTATTGAGACGAACAATATGAATCGAAGGCAATGTACTGACCAGTGAACGTAGGCTTACGATACACAGAAGTCAATATTTCACAGCCAGTCTTCTCTACAAGCACGTCTAGAAATGACAACTTACTAGACTGCTCGTGCTCACAAGTAAAGCGGAGGGAAGGATGTAGGCTGTTGAGCACATCGAGAAACAATTCACTGCTCTCAACACTGTCAAAATGCGTGAACGAATCGTCAACAAAACGCACGTAGAACGCGGGCCAAAGCGACTCATCAATCTTGCACTCACAATAAACAACGAATATATTGGCGAGGACGGGACCAAGAGGAGATCCCATCGCCACACCATCCACTTGCTTGTACATCACATCGTTGAACGAAAATTCGACACCGGTTGTAACTGACAGCATCAAATGACGAAACGCCGCTTCCGATACCCATGGAGTATCAACATCATCGTTACGGTACAATACATCCATACAGATGTCAACAGTCTCATCAATTGGAACATTCGTAAAGAGACTTACAACATCGAAGGAACACATGTGTGCATTGAGAGGGACCGGACTATCACGAAGCTTCGCAACAAAGTCGAAGCTATCCTTCACAGTGCGTTTGCAATAGTAATCTTGAACAGGCTGTAGGTAGATGCACAGCCATTTCGAGATAGAGTATTGAGGGGAGGCGGTCATGGATACTATTGGTCTAACAGGGCATGTAGGTTTATGGATTTTTGGAAGGCCATAGAGTCTAGGACGAAGGGTACCAGTCGGTTTGATGCGATCGAATTCATGTTTTGATATTTGTTCTTCATTCTTTAGCATTTGAAGATAAGTTACTAGATCCTTTTCTACTTTTTCAGTTCGATCACAGGTCTTGACCGGACCAAGTGTACGGAACTTTGACGTGTCATTTAGGATAACGGACATCTTCTCGATGTAGTCAGTTTTATTCATTAAAACAGTTGCACGACCCTTATCAGGGCGCGTGACAATAATGTCTTTGTTATTCCGTAGCTCATGCAGGGCTTTGAGATGTTCGCGTTTCAATGAGAACGTTCTTCTATCCGGTAATGCATCAGCGTGTTCCTCGGCCTCTGCCCGGATCTTTGCGGCGCAAATGGACTGTTGTGACTCGGACACCGGTCTGAAACGTAATAACTTGCGGTAAAAGAGCTCAAACTCGGTCATGATTACTTCCTTCTTGTTTGATATTGGTGGAATCCCGAAATCGGTTCCACGACAGAGGAGTTCTTTCTGAAGAGTGGTCAGCTCTAGTGATGTCATGTTAATTATGGTGGTATCAGGATCGATGGTGACATGTCCACATCTTTTCTGTCTTAGCCAATTGTAGGTCTTGTCATGTTTTGTGATTAGATGGATACGTTGTTTCTGGTCATTTTCCGAAAGGAGCATAGAGAATCTCAAGAAATCGTGAGAGGAGAGAAAGCAGCCCGCATGATCATACAAATACCTAAACCGCGAACGTGACTTTGACAAAGTGTCGCAGGACCGGGCAATCTCGTCTTTCATGAATACTCGTTCGATGTTTAACGTGTGGTAAGCTTTGGTCCTGCGGACACGGTTCTCTACACCACCTGGACAAACACCATTGTCCAGACAACGTCTAAGGAACACTACGTTCAATGCAACACTACGATAATGAAATCGTGACTTCAGCGCATGGTTAAGTAATAATAATAATTATTTATTATTATTATTATTTTTTTTTTTATTTTACTAGGGTGTTTCCCACAGACCTATGGTCTTCTTACGGGAGCCCCTAGAAAGGTTAAGCATGAACGAACAAATGGGCGATAATCTGTACAAGAGCGAACAGTGGAAGGCAGCATATTCCACCGATCAGAACCTATGCAGCCAAGACGAGAAAAACCAGCTTTAGTGTGGGCGGAAGGCAAGGCCAGAGAAAAAGAGATTTGGGACCTAGTGACGGCAGTAGTATGTGCACTAATAATAATAATAATAATAATAATAATAATAATAATTTTAATATGGCAATAAGTAGGACGAGCTGAAGCGACATGTGGACTACTTTATTTACAATGTAAGCGATGGAGACGATGCAAGAAACAATCTAAAGGGTAAGGAAAATACATGTAAGAAGAAAAGGCAATGGAAAAAAAGATGATTCGAACAAGTTTTCGTACAACACTCTTCAGGAATCACCGTTGTACTAAAGAACAAAATGAAAAACAAAGGAAATAATATAGCAATCAAGGTAGGGTGACACGATACAATGACAGCACTGGAATATCGAGGTGCGATTTCTCACAAAAGCGTGCAGAACTTTTCTTCTTACATGTATTTTCCTTACCCTTTAGATTGTTTCTTGCATCGTCTCCATCGCTTACATTGTAAATAAAGTAGTCCACATGTCGCTTCAGCTCGTCCTACTTATTGCCATATTAAAATTATTGTCTCCTCGTCGAATTTTTAAATAATAATAATAATACTAATTCCCTTATCAGCCGAAAGTATTTCTCTCTGGTCGAACAAGAAGCCATTGCTCAGCAGCTCGTGGAGCGAGGGGCGCTTCCTAGCGCGTTTCTACAACGTTACCACGCAACGAATCACCAGGGAGAACCGGAGCCCTGCGGGTCCAGCGCTGCTGGCGCTACTGGCACTACGCGCACTGATGACGCCCAGGCGGATCCTCGAGCCGCTGACACTAGTACTGGTGCTGGTGCTGGTGCTGGTGCTGGTGCTGGTGCTGTCAGTGATGTACTTGTGCCTCCACCCAACTTGGACGGTGAGTCAACTGTCACTGGATCAACAACGTGTGAACACGTTCCTGCCTTGCATGCTGATGCACTTGGCGCTGCGGACGGATGATCTGGTGGTGTGTCGTGCACTGCGGAGAGCCCTTGCACAGACTGCAGAGCACAGACTAATCGTAGCTTATCTGCTTGCTTAGCTAATGCATGTAGTGCTGGTATCATTGACTCTAATGACAAACAGCTCGTGTGGGCGGTCAAGCATATCTGTGTATGTATCAAGGCTGCTGGGGTGGAAGACACTGGTAGGGTCCTTGGTGGGCTGGTAGCCAGTGTACAGCGTTTGGGTGTTGATGAGAGGCCAAAGCTTGCAGTCCCCAGGAAAATCCCATACCTCCGTCTTTCAGCTACTGTCGCAAAAATCAACTGTGGCATCCGTCAGCTGATTGCTGCTAGTGAGTTTGACCTGTCCATAGAGTTCTTGAATCATGTTGCGTATGCTGCTGCTGTTCTCACCCTACTGGTTTGTGGTATCCCGCCGGTTCCGGCAGCGCGCATGAGTTCGCCGCAGCCGGAGGTTCCGGGTTGGCAACGCCGGTTACAGCGAAAGGTTGACGCCCTTCGGAAGGATGTCTCTAGACTGACAAGCTACCTGGCATCTGACAACCCGCAAATGTACGAGCGCTACCCTGTGGGAACTCGGCACGCTGCTGCTTCACTTCTAGGAACAAAGAAATTGGAACTTCTGGCCCTTGCGGGTCGAATGCGCAGATACAAAGCTGATATGAAACGAAAGCAGGAGAATCAGTTATTTCGCTACAATGAACGTCAATTCTATCGTAACCTGTGTGCCAAGAAGGATAGTGACCCCGAGAACCGTCCATGTATGGATCAATTGGAGCAGTTCTGGAGAGACATTTGGTCTCACCCTTACCCTGTGCGTCGTCAGGCCTGGATCCAGCGTGAAGGCACGTACGCAGAGGCCATCCAGGCCCAGGAATCTTCTGTCATTACTGCTGACCTTATGTCTGCTGCGACCTCCAAGATGCCACACTGGCGTGCTCCTGGTTGTGACCAGATCCCGCCATTCTGGATTAAAAAATTTACTGCTCTCCATCCAGCTCTACTTCGAAATTTCCAGCTGCTTCTGGATGGTGAGCTGGATGCCCCAGCATGGTTTTCACTGGGCCAGACGGTCATGATCCCAAAGAAAGGAGACCTAACCCAGCCGCAGAATTGGCGACCAATCACCTGTCTGCCAGCCATGTACAAGCTATTCACCTCCGTGATTGGTGAGTTGATGTGGATCCATATCCAGACCAATGACATTCTGGCCCATGAACAAACTGGCTGTACTCGTAACCGAGGAGGCTGCACTGACCAGCTGCTGATCAATGCTATGATTACCCAGGATGCTAGGCGTCATCACCGCACCTTGGCAATGGCTTGGTTGGATTTTAGGAAAGCGTTCGACAGCCTATCGCAGGAGTGGCTAGTCGAAGTCACACGTCTGTACAAATTCCACCCCAAGATCACTTCGCTCTTGTCTGTGCTCTCATCGCAGTGGCGTACCCGGCTGCGCTTGGGAGCTGACATGAGTGAGGCAATACCGATCTGGCGAGGCATTTTCCAAGGTGACTCGTTATCCCCTCTGCTCTTCTGTCTTGGATTGAATCCAATATCAGGTGAACTCAGCAGAAGTGGCTTTGGATATGCGTGCGGACTTCAGCGGACAACAACCGTATCCCACTTATGGTACATGGATGATGTGAAGCTGATGGCCGCAACCAGTAAGCAGCTTAACTCAATGATCAACATAGTATCGTGCGTTGGGAAATCCATTGGAATGGAGCTTTCTCCAGCAAAGTGTGCTAAGCTTGTGTGCCCACATGGTGCTGTTGATCCAGATCAGCCAGCAACTGTCACAGTAGATCAAGCCTCCAGCATTGCCTCCTTGGCGGACGGCTCCGTGTATGCCTACCTTGGCATAAGGGAGTGTTTTGGCATGGCGGAACAGTCTGTTAAGGTGGCCACCACCAAAGAGTTCAGGAGGCGATTGCGGCTGGTGACCCACACATCTCTCAACGCCTGCAACCTCTCTCGTGCTATTAACTCTTATGTCATCCCAGTGCTGTCGTATGGCTTGTGTATTGTGCCATGGACGAAGGATGCTATTGCAACCTTCGACAGGAATGTCCGAAGTGCGCTCCGCGCAGTGGGAGCACACCACCCACGATCTTCCACCATCCGCTTTCACCTGCCGAGATCTGAGGGCGGCCGAGGGATTGTATCGGTTGAGCACCTGCTGGAGAGGAAATACATCCGCCTGTCTAGGTATCTCCAGGCGCACTCTGACCTGCCGCTGATTGCTGCGCTGCATGCTCATCATGAAGATCTTCCGCCTACAAAGTCGATCATCTCCCGGGCGGCCACGGCAATGGAGCACTTCAACATCCTGGACATCGGAGGTGCAACAACTGACGTTGTTAAGTCTGCTATCAGAACCTCCACCCAAGCTTCTCTGCGGCAGAAGCCCCTGCATAGTCGCTATTGGCAGAGAAGTGGCGGTGTATTGGACATGCCTCTCTCATTCAACTTCTTAAAGTCTCCAACATTGCGTCCATCCACTGAGTCATCCGTATTTGCTGCTCAGGATCAGGTGGTTAATACCAGGAACTACCAAAGATCGGTTATTGGCGACACTTCCGTGGTGGACGTGTACCGTTTGTGTGGAGGTCCGGGGGAGACTGTTGACCATATTTTGGCATGCTGCCCCGTGTTGGCACGGACGGCATACATTACTCGCCATAATCGTCTTGCCGCTATAGTCCACCGGGCACTCTGTCATCGCTACAGACTGGTATCTCCTGCTCCCCCTGTCCACTTGCCACACTACGTCGAGGATAGTGAAGGCCGTAAGTTAATGTGGGAAATGCCAATCCCTACAGATAGGATGGTTGGAGCAAATCGGCCGGATCTTGTGTGGGACGATGGCAAGTCAGTCCAACTTATTGATGTCAGTTTGCCACTGGATCATAGAGTAACACTAAAACATGCTGAAAAGAGAGCGAAGTACTTGCCCCTCGCAGTGGAAATTGGGCAGATTTGGCAGCGAGAGGCAGTGTCCGTAGTGCCCATTATAGTTGGTGCTCTTGGTGGCCTGACGAAGGAAGCGGCTACCTCAATTAAGCAGCTATGTGGAGAAGAGCGGCACCTTCATGAACTGCAGCAGGCTGCTATCCTTGGCTCGATGGCCATTCTAAGATCTGTTTTGGGTGCAGCATAGGGCTCTTCGCTGTCCCTGGTGGGCTTTTTATGCTCTGTATGTTATTGTATTCGTTTTAGTTTGTAATTAATACACTGTGGTATTTCTGTGGGTTTTCGTATTTGATCTTTCTGTGGGTGCGCATTGGAGGTTGTGCCCAGTGATGAGCTTTGCCGGCCTGAATTTTTCGCCAATTTCTGATGCTCCCCTTTCTGCAATACCTGTTGCCATGATACCTTTGGGCTTTAATGCCTGTGATGGTACATGCGCCTTTCTCCCTTCCTCTCTCTCTACCTTACTTTTTTCCATATATTATTCCGTGCTGCTTACCTTTGGCTATGATAAGTCCGGTGAGTTAGTGTAATACCTCCAAGTTTTATTTTTATTTTCAATTTGGAGTGGAATAAAGACTCATAATAATAACCTGGCTCTTGTCAGTCTCGAAATATGCCCGGCATGGCAGGCGCTAGGCTAGGCGGCAGTGCATGATGAATTGATGATGTGCATGCATGCACGGGTACATGTCCTGTAGCCAACATGTACAAGTCATGTACAGTAGGTATCGGTTATAGCGTGGGTGTTTGAAAAACGACTTTCTATTCTTATTTCCGATATTTCTTACACATGATAAATCAAGTGTGGCATATCATATGCATGTCCGCAGGGGCAGGAAGATCATCGTACATGCAACGCAGTACTTCTGTGCATGTGGCTGGTCATAGTCCCATAAGCTTACATGTGGCTATGCAAAAATTGAGTTACATGGCCACAACAGTTGAATCTGCGGCACTACGACGCAACGAGAGTCACATCAGAACGGAATTGGACAGATGTTATTACTACAGGCGATACACTTTGTACTAATTGGCATGTTTCGCTACACAAAGTCCATTCTTAGGACCGATATATTCTACTATGGGATAAAATTGCTTGTAAGAATAAATGTGCACTTGAAATCCATGTTATGATTATGAAAACATGAGGGTTCATTCTTGTATGCAGTATATTCTTTTACACGACCACGCTATAACCGATACGCACTGTACGTTCTTCGAATCAGGGAGTCGTAAAATACCGGTATTTTACAACTCCTGCTTCGAATGAATTAGGCAGCCATCTTGTTGCCATGGCAACGGGTGAATAATTTTCGCACATTGGGTGATTTTTTAAATTTTTTTAGATTTTTTTCAAATCTATCCATTTTTGAGAGTAGCATCATTCCCCCAAAAAATCGAGTTTTACATCCACATCTTTCCAATATTTTTTCGAATAATGTGGAAAAGCCTAATCGCGGTGGCGCCGACAGAGAAAACATGGCCGCGGTCTGTTTGCACCGCTGGGAGTCGTAAAATTACTGTTCTTCTGTCCCGGATCCCCGCAACCATTCAAATCATACGCGACACGGAGGACTCACGTACTCACCACGTTCTCATTTGCAGAAGCCTTGCTTGGTAGTTTAACATATTTTTCGAGTTTGACAGCATATTACAAGGCGAGGACGCATAGTGCTCCTGACTACAACCATAACCCGGTTGGCAGAGTCCCGGTCTTGCGACCATTTGAACCGTATTTGGAAACCCAGGTTCGGACCCTCGTTACTCCAGGGGTTGTTAGGATTTAGAAAATTTCTTTTTTTGTGTTGTAGAAGTCGTCGTGTTGCCGCCGCAGTATTGTTAACGTTGTCGCGTTGCTGCCGCTGCAGGGATCACGTCTGGAATGTGATGTTGTTATTTTCTTGTCTTCCTCTGTAATTTGTAAGTTAGGCCAAACTAAAGAAGGTGTGTGGTTCGACTAACATGGACATTTTTTTACGGGCGGGCGGGCGGATTTTTTTTTTAAAATATATTTTTTAGTACATGTAAATACACTGTACTGCCTTTAGACACCCAGTACAGTAGGTATCGGTTATAGCGTGGGTGTTTGAAAAACGACTTTCTATTCTTATTTCCGATATTTCTTACACATGATAAATCAAGTGTGGCATATCATATGCATGTCCGCAGGGGCAGGAAGATCATCGTACATGCAACGCAGTACTTCTGTGCATGTGGCTGGTCATAGTCCCATAAGCTTACATGTGGCTATGCAAAAATCGAGTTACATGGCCACAACAGTTGAATCTGCGGCACTACGACGCAACGAGAGTCACATCAGAACGGAATTGGACAGATGTTATTACTACAGGCGATACACTTTGTACTAATTGGCATGTTTCGCTACACAAAGTCCATTCTTAGGACCGATATATTCCACTATGGGATAAAATTGCTTGTAAGAATAAATGTGCACTTGAAATCCATGTTATGATTATGAAAACATGAGGGTTCATTCTTGTATGCAGTATATTCTTTTACACGACATCGCTATAACCGATACGCACTGTACATGGGCATTATTACGCAGTGTTATGCCATACATGTTGTATAAAGGGATCACTGGCTAATACTTTGAAACATTGTGTAGCTCTGGAACGAGAAGAGAATAACTTCAAGCGGTGACTCTGACTGTCCAAATCATCAAGCAAATGAAGAACGATGCGAGTTGAAAGTAAGTTCGGGAACTACTTCGAAGTACAAATTGTACAATGTACCGGTACATGTATTGCTAGTTTGGTGTCGGCGTGCACGAATACATGGGATTTTCCATCGACGCTTCCTGTGCTTGCACAGAAAACAGAAGGCCGTCCTTAATCTGGAACGAGGCAATCACTCTCAACCGGACGGTCACTTCAAATAGGGACTTCAGACCACGTGACTTCTTGGCCCAAAAGCGTGCAAATCGACGCCTGCACAAATCGTGTGATGGTCATATGTCAAGTCGTGTAAAGAAATGTGGAACCGTTTTTCGAAATGAAGGAAGTCTTATACAGTTGGAGAAAGTTTCGGTTCGTCTTGTTGGAGCTTGCCTTCGTTTGGGACCAGCAAGAATGGAGCTGTTACGTTCATTTTTGACGGAGATACGTATGCGGATGGAAGGGAAAGGTGAGAAACCATATGATCCGTCCGGGTCCCCTTCTTGAAAATGTGATATTCGTATTCTACGACCTCGAATTATTCTAGATAGAAGGTAATCTTTATTGTTTTCACCTTCCAGAAGACCTATTTCTTGCATTATTCCTCTTTGTACTTTGCCGTGCAGCGCCGCCATAGTCACAGTATGGAAAGCAGCGCCGGAGAAGTATCCTGCGCTAAATGATGCTGATGTACAAATTGAATTGCTCTTGGCTGTTTCGGTCCATGCCTCGATTCTTGTCTCCAATGCTGTTATGCTCGATCTGGTTGAGCTCCGCAAGAATAGCTGCAAGAGTGCCGAACTGGGAGATGTGCTGTATACTCTTGTTGCTATTTGCTGTATCTCTGCTGATGATGATGTGCGTGCTACGATTACCCCAGCCAATACAATGTCCTGTACATGAACATGTTGAGCTTAGTCAGTGCCTCTTCCGTGATTATTCTTTTTCTTGACACCAACCACGCCAACAGTCCGAAGCTATCTGTATTATCAATGTCTCCTGTTACTAACCACTAGTGGCACTACATTGTAAACCATACTATTCAGCTACATGTACATGTATTTCATGCGGAGAATCAAGATTGTTTTTGGATCTGGTGTGCGGTTGCTATGCGTTGCCAAGGAAAGTGGGTTCTCTCAGTTTGACATATCTCTCTGATCTCAAATGTGTGGGACGTTTGTCGGACAAATCCGGTGATAGGCGATGACTATTTTGCTTGTAACTCTAGTTTCCTTTGTCCGATTTAGAAAAACTAAAGACCAAACTCCTCAGGAAGCTCTAACCTATCCAAAAAGCAAAACATAAGCCACAGAAAACCGATTTGAAAAAATGGTCTGAAGTCACTACTTCAAAATACGTCTCGCCAGTCTGCCGGTGATCGTATCGAGTAGACTCTACTACCAGCACAAGGCAGCAGTCGTACCACTCACTGCACTGCACTGCAGTACAACTACAAGTCAAGTCCAAAAGGAGCCGCCTGCGTCCGCAGACTCACGCTGCACAGCACGTACAGTTGTAGACGTGGACGTGTTCAGTCCACGTACGTCAGTCACACGACAGCCCGCCGAAAAAAAAGTTACGGTCGGGCTGAAAAATGTACGGTCGGTCGGGTGAGTCGAACCACAGACCTTCTTCAGTGTGGCCTTATCTTTCTTTTTTTATTTTGTTCGTTTGTTCTTTTTTTGTCTTTTCCAACTTCTGCCCATGGCATCCTTCTCTCAGCTCGTCAGCTGTAACAGTCATAGTCATCACCATGACGACTGTTGTGAGAAGGTGCTCGCTGCCGACGAGGTTAGTGATGTTCCGACGAGGCCATGGGTAGGCCTACACCACGTCGGAACACCCCGTCTGCACGTTGGGTGTTGATGGACGTTGATGTTGTTGTAGTAGTTGTTGTTGTAGTTGTTGTTGTTGTTGTCGTTTTTCTTAGTGTTGTTCTCGTTGTTGATTCCACATATAAAACAGAGTCATATTTCGTTAATCAGCTTCAGGGTACTTTTTTCTTCAGTTGTGAACGATTTATGGAATATTGCAATTGGTAACATGGGACATAAGTTCAGTGCAGCGCCCGGGATGTTTTTCAGGCGAGGTTTGCCGGTTTTAGGGGTCAAATGTCGGAGTCAGCATTGCTTACCTCGGCTGTTGCGCTGGACCGTCTTGGGTTCACTCGTAGTTAATTAATTGTGCCTCACCAGGGGGGTGGGCTCTCCGGTATTAATCCTTAGTTGAAACGAGAAATTGTTTACTATTATTATTGATGAATGGGTTAGTGTTGTATCACGTTCCTCGTGGCGTGGGCTGAGTCTACTGTCAGGTGAACGGAGCTATAAAACACACAGACAGCGGTTATTGGTGTATCGAAGGAGGAAAGAAGTCTCATTGGTGGGTCTCTAAAAGAGACGCGTGTTGACTTTGGACTTATCGTGAGATCTCTCCAGGTTGTCCGAGGAGCTGGTAAGATGGTCGTCGACGTGGAAGGTGAACGTAGGCTGAGGAAGATATGTGGAGT